TATATATATTTACAGAATTTAATAAAACAATGCATTTGGTACAGCATATACCTCACCCTACAGAATTTTAACAAAACTATAATTGTTAAAATGCTATGGAACAGTGTAAAAATCCTGCAGAGAATTTATTATTCTCCATCGAATGATAAAGGAATTTTCCATGAGAGAGTTTCGCCCTTGAAACAAAACCTGCTTTCTTGGCATTATGACTCAACCAAAATGTCACGCATTGTGTTGGACCAGACTGCAGAGCAGCACAGAACAGAACTATCTTCCTTGGAAAGTTTCCGTGTGGACAAGCGAGGGCTGCTGCTTGTGCGTCCCCCGCACACGGGGACGGCTCCTTTCACTGGCCAACAATTGGCTTTGCAACTTCTGCCTTCGCCCAGAGACTGAATGTCCTCTGCGCTGGAGTTACACGTTTACTGACTTTACATCAGAGCAATATTTCTTATTCATACAATATCATCAGGCTTCTGGCTTTTAAAAATTGCAGCCTGCCAAAAGTAGTTTGAAGTGTCCTAGATCAGCTGAACTTGGATTTTTCCCTCTCATTTTAAGAAAGGGCTCTTTAAAGAGGCAGTCGCTGCTATCCGCAAATAAAGGTGTCAATTGTACCTCTAATAAACCCCTCTCATAGCCCCCCGTTTGGGAGGAGATGTTGCTGGCCATGTGGTGGATCAGTTGGGGGGAAGGTTGAAAGAAGGGGGCATTTTCCTTTTGACTGCGATGCTAACAACAAACCAGCAGCCCCCTAACAGCCGCCTGCTCAGGAGCGGACAGAAAACGAACTGGCAGCTTTCATATAAGGGCAAGGAGCACAAAAAGCCGCTGGGAAAGGAGCAGGTACGGTGCAGCCAGCACATACCACAGGTGAGTGAGTCACTCCTTCGGCAGCATGCTCTCACCCAACCTGTGGGTAGGAACCACCAATGTTAAGCATTACAGACAACACATCCACACAGTCACCTACACCTGTTTGAAAACTAGGGTTGGGGGTTTTTTGGGGGGTTTTTGTTTGTTTTGGTTTTTTTAAAGGTACATAATATACTCACAGCCTGACTTTTGGGGAGAAAAAAAGGTTTTTACTCATACTAGATGAGGACCAGCATAGCATGAGGCACTTCTAAACAGCAGGTGATGCTGGCACAGTTTAATCAGAGTTAAGTGTGTCCTAGACTGTAAAATAGTGGCTGGAAAGATACATGAGAGCAGGAAATGTTTATTTGGGTTGCGGCTGCTTCGCCAGCCTGTGGGTGTGACAATCCTTCAATCTTTCAGAGGAAAAAAAATGGCTTTGCTGAGAAGTGTGTGTGCAAATTTGCCTACTGAAAAAAAAAACTAGAGACGTATTAGGTCTCGACTTCTTTGATAGCAGCAGACAATTAGTTTACCGATGCAGGAGTCAGATATAAAAACTTCACACAGAGTTTTGGCAGCGCTGCTCTGATCACCACAAGTTATAACAAGTACGCCTCCCTCGCTGCCTCTCAGATTTGATGATTAAAGAATCCACTGATGTTGCTTCCCATGCAAGACGATTATTTTCTGGGTGTGGGGCAGATCACGATGACTAAGAGTGTTTTTATGATGCTCCTGGGACACTGTCATGCATTTGAAAAAAATAATAATTCTTTGAGGAGAGGAACTTGGTTTCTTATGGGTGCCTGTGCCTAGGTTAATAATGAATCCCCTCGCCTCGTAAGGTGCAGGTTAAGAGGAGGATTTCTAACACTCTTCTGTCGGTTCTGTGATGTGCAATGACACAGCTACATTCACAGCACTGTGCTTCTCACAAAAAAAAAAACCAAAACACAGGTCTGTTTCCTCTGGTTTCCCTTTTTGGCAAAAAGTGAATACAGTTAAGACATCTGCTCTTTCATCACATTTGGTGGAAATTATGCAGTTAATGCAAAGGTTACATATGGGTGGGGAGGATGTAAGGGACCATCTGACATACACAATTATTTCCTCCGGAAACAAGATAAGGATTTACGGATTCATAATGACTCAGCACCGTCAGTGCTTTCAAACTCAACATTCTGTGCTAGAACTTGTCAATATTATGTAAACATAGTTGTGATCTGAAATGAGGCTTGCACTTCAGTGACTCATTTGCTGATTGCAGAAGAGAGGGGAAAGGACCGCTAGCTAGCCTAAGGCAGGAAGGCAGCATTCCCCAAGTTATTTTGCATAAATGGGTTGTCCTATTCTACATGTAACAAGTTCTCCAGCCTCAGCAATACTGAAAAAAAATTAAAAATATTAAGGAGTTTGATAAAATTATCAATTTACATTATGAAAATTGATTTGATATGATTTGATGATTTGGCATCTTCATATTGTAATTCACCCATACAATGTCACAGGCTGCATGAACCACAAGCCTATACACCAAAACAATAATCTGGAGATTTTAGATATGTAAGAACTTAATGTTGCTTTGTTTGTCCAGTTAGTGCTTTTTGTAATAATCAAGAGGTAAGTTCTCCAACACCCCATGCAAACAAAACAAGGGAACCTGAACTGGCATATGGAGAATACATGGTGCCCCCAAATCTGAAAACCAGCAGGCAAGAGCTTCACCAGGAGTTATTCCTCTACCCACAGACAACAGCAACAGCTCCAAAAGCTAGTGCCAGGACTGAGAAAAGGGAAAGGTGACATCCTTCTTCCACTATACTGTATATAGGCATGGGCATTAGCATCATTAGGGACAGTGACAAACAGAATAAGCTTCACAAAATTAAAAGAAGTAGCTGGACTGTGTGTCAGGCAGTTTTCTTAGAATCTTTTCCCCCCCATACACGCACATATGTCTTTTCGAATTCTTCAATGCTGATGGGCAAAATAGCATTGTTAAACTCTCTGAAGCAACCATACTAAAAGCACACAGCTCATTGATCAAGACACATTTGATTTGTTTTGCACATCACATATGGGAGATTTTTCTTTATGATTGAAAAGTGTATTGCTATCGGAAAAGACACACAGAAAAGCCACGATCCACTTACCGAATGATGAGTAATTCAACCCAGACTCTCACAAAAGCAGGTAGTGGCCCAAAGGCCTCCAGGATATAGGTGTAGTGACCCCCAGATTTCTTAATGCATGTTCCTAGTTCAGCATAGCAGAGGGCACCTGTGAGGATTAAACTGTGGCATTACAAGAGACATCCAGAAATAACTCTCAAAACAGTAAACTAAACAGTGGAGCTGCTGCGGTACCACAACTACTTTTGATACACATCTATCATGTCTTTTTCAATTTTGTACATTTAAATTCACTCAGTTTACCAAGCTGTATGTACACCCAGTTACATTTACGTGTAAGCCACTGAACAAACTATTTGCTATCAACACATTTCATTACTCATCCATATCTGGTGAAGAGGGACAACAAAATGCTGTGTCACACCAGCTACCCGGGTCAGCCAAGTCTGACCATACCACTGAGTGAAATACTTCTGACACATTTTCTTGTTATCAAAGGATGATTAGCTCCTTTCAGCCCTAGAGGTGCATGGCTCTGCCTCTGAAGAAAAGCCTGAAAACTGTATTCCCCCTCCTCAGCCACAGGTGAAGCAATCAGCTGGCCAAAATTTGGAAGCAAAAATTGCAGATTAAGAATTTTCCTTTATGGTACTCCCAACATAAAAAATTCAGGGGATGTCTTAGCTCTGGTGCAGTGTTGCTGCGTACTACTATTGCAATGAAAGCTCGGTCCATCTCTGCATTGCCTTAAATACAGATAACTTCACGGTTTCATAGCAGGAGTCTCAGATCATCCTTTGGTGCATTTACACCAGCTAAAATAAAACCAAAATCATCATCACATCACAGCATTAGGGGCAGCCAGGTTCACACAGAAGTGGCTCAGGCCCCTTTGGAGCAAGTGCTAGCAGCATTCCCAGCAAGTAACAGCTCCCAGAGAGCTCCCAAGGCTGCCGCCAGCACAACACGCAACCTCTGCCATTATGAAGCAGGCAACAGCATGTTGCAGATATGAGGACCTGCATGAAGCCCACGTGCCATCTGCTACCGTCGCTTAATGAGCCATCACCCAGCCACAGAGCCAGTGGATGCTCAGCTCCACGGGTGGACCGCATCCATAGAAAAGAGGTGGACCACATCCGATAAATGTAGGCAACCTTTTAGGAGCATCTGAGAAGCCACAGGAAAACATTAATGGAGTCTGCAGGCACTGCATTGCATAGAGGTAAGATCAGCAGCATCTATGAACTTGTTTTAGCTTCATTCTCTGCACTCCTTTGTGCTGCAACGCTTTAACAGTTTTACAGTTGTCAAAACTACATAACACATCCAAGCCCATTCAAGGTGTGCCACACTACGACAAATTCCATCCTTGTTCAGTCGCTTTGTTTGGGGCTTTGCAAAAGTGTGGCAGTTTTTATCCGCTATTCTTCAGCTTACCTGAAAACGTTCTTAAAGAAATTACTTCAGCCACATTAACAAAAAAAAAAAAAAAAAAAAAAGGTATTGATGGGTCTTCTCTTGCCAGCCTCTTCTGCTGAGGTTCAGGATGAAATGAAATTGTGTTTCGATACAGGTTATACACACAGCCTCAGCTAGACCTTAAGTGACCTTTGCATGAGCTTTTGTTATAATTAAGTCATGCAGGGAATTAGAAGCACCCAATGACACAAAAAATATGAAAAAAATAACTGTAACAGGTCCATTCAGGAAAATAAAAAAAATACCTTTTGCTGCGCCAAATTACACAGATCTTTATATCTTGAGATCTGTAAAATGACCTGGAAAATCCCTCTGATAATTTTTTTTTTTTTTTTTTTTTACTTCACGGCCAGACAATTACTACTATAAAAGTTAAAGCCAAAAATGCAAAGCTTAAGCAAATTCTGTTTCGACTAAATCTAAAGCCCACGGTCTTCTAACAGGGTTACAAACTGTATTTCAGGTCTGTCTGTCTTTCTAGGGGAATTTTGGCTGCAGGCAGGACTTCCACATTTCTACAACAGATTATGCTGCACATTGTAGCAACGCACATAACATTTGACCAAAACGGGTCCTAACTTTCTCGCACTGTTTGGCTTGGGTGGGCTTAGCCTGTAAACAGCCCCGTGTTTCTTTTAAGCCCAGAGCCAATTTACACAGGGTGGCACTTGCGTGTTCCACCTGTTAAGCAGACATGTTAAGTCTGTGTTTGTCCTTGTTACCTCCTACCAGAAAACAAGTCGTTTCAGTTTTAAATAAAGCCAATATTCATGTTAGTTCTTCAGCTGCTTTGAGATATATTCATTAAGTAGGTCAATGGACCCTCTGTCCCGCAGAGGCCAGGGTGGGGTTTTTCCCTCTGAATGGGGGCTTTGTGTACAGAACAAATAAACTGGCATTCTTTGGAACTTAATGCTGCTCAAAAATACACAAAATTAGTAAAAACTGTCATGATAGCCAAGCCAGCAATAAAACTCACATTACAAATTTGTTTCCATCACGCTGGTTTTTTCAGCGCAATCTTTCACAGCAGCATCGTGAGCAGGAAATAAAGCAAAGAGCAGTAATAAGAGACTGGGCAGAGGGGCTATTATTTTGCTGCCTTCCGTGCCAATACAGCTCACGTCCAGTGGGAATGATCCCTCTCAGACCTTGATCTAGCCTCTGGGGAGCTAATTCGAGCTGTCTAACCATTTCGCCGGTGCTCAAACGAGGTGACCCGCATCCCCAGCTGCTGGGGGCCTTACAAGCAAACCGTAAACTACCTCCTACAGCCAGAAGAAAAGCACTAGACATACAGCACATTGCACGGCATAAAACAGACATTTACTTCTCCTGTTCCTTTAGGGACCTGTAAGAAACAATAATTTGCGCTCCCACTCTTTACCGATGAGGCGCCAGGGGGACAGGGGCTGCATTCCTCTGTGCCCTCCACGCAACCTATCACACAGCAAAAATCTTCTGTAGCCCCATTGGTCCTCAAGCTCCACACTGTGCCTCGATATCCAATGGCATAATCAGACAAATAATAGTAATAATCCACCGGCTGCCCCTCTGGACCAATTAGAGACTTTTAAGCGACTTACCGAAGAGCGAGAGGATGCCACACACTGTCCAGACAGTCAAGGACATGCCAACACTGCCCGTGTTCTTCAGGATGCCTTTGGGAGAGATGAAGATGCCAGCTCCAATGATAGTGCCAATGATGATGGATATCCCTCTCAAAAGTGTCACTTTCTTCTTCAGCACAACTTTTTCCTTCTGGGCTGGCTGGCCTCCGTCCATAGAGGGCAACCTGCCATTAGATTGCCCCTGCAAGTAGCTTCCATTAGTGACCGTGGTTCCAGCAGCTTTCCTAAACATGCTCCAGTGCCCCCAGCACACCGACACCCAGCACAGCCAACAAGTTTACAGCAGAACCTCGAGGGTTTTTCCTCTGTGTAGCCAACTTTTTTCCCTGCCCCTCTCTTATCTTCCCAGCTGCTCCTACGCACAGGTAACAAGCTCCTAAAGTCTGTTTCAGCCTTTCCTGCTATCTGAGCAGTGCTCAGGAACACCTGCGCTTTCCCACTGCGAGCTGGTACTGCCCAAGCATTGGAAACCAGCTCAGCTTCCGCGTGGACTTGTATTTAAGCTCTTGTCATACCAAGTTACTCCAGCTGAATGATGATGCAAATTCTCCAGGTTTGCATCAGCCATTTGAGAAACCTCTGGCATTACTCAGCATTTTTTTTTTTTTTTTTAAACGGTAGGGGCATGTTGCACAACCGATCTGAGCGTGGTGGGAAGAACAAAGCACTCATAAGCAAAGCGAGCCAATCAAGCTAAGCACATCACCCTCACCACCCCGAGACACGCTCCCAAAGATTTTAAAAGCAACTTGGAGTCAGAAACAAAAGCCTGCCTAAACACAAAGCTCGTCAGAGCACAAGGGGAAAAGGAATCAAACAGAACACGTCATCTCTGGGTCTAATCCAATTTCTTTCTCGAAAAAACTCCTCTTAATGAAAGTTATGTTTGCTTAACTTCTTGCGCTGCAGTTGATCAGCCTCTCTCACATCTACGAGTACTTACCTGAAAATTTCTATAGGGACTGCCTGAACCTACATAAAGAATACACACAAACCCCTTGCTACCCCGTGTTGCCTAGCAACACACCCAAATCAGCCTAATGAAAACCCTGGGTTATTTCCCAAGTACAGTAATTTTCATATGTGCGGCGTGTTTCTGAGGTGTTGGTAAGCAAGGCAGCAACGACACTGAACACTTGCAGTCACGGCTGGCGTGGGATCTGGCAGGAGGAGGACAACGGGAGCCACTCAGGGCTCAAAAAGGGTTTTTTTGTGTTACTGTAGAGCTGCCCTGACCAGATAAACAGGTAATCAGATGCATAAACAGTTTTGTTTCACTACCCGATCATTCCAATTCAAACCTAAGAAATTAAACTGTTAAAAAGAAGAGCATTCTCATAAAACAGAACAAAAATCAACAGCCTTCAAGCACTTGTAACCTAATGGAGGGACAGCCTGTGCAAGAAATGCCAAAGGGGAAAAATCCTTCGTAGCATAACTATTGCAGCTGCTCGTGGCTTCAGATTAGATCAGTGCAAAGAGAAGTGATTGCTGCAGTTACTGCTTTTACAGGTACTGCTTAATTGGGACCTGGGATTTAGGGGGTGGGGAGGGGGGAAGACAGCAGTTAAAACATTTTACCATTTGAAAAGCAGGCACTGCGCTCAGGGCAGAACTGTGCTTTCTATTTATTTGAGAAACAGGACATCTTGGAGTATCAACAGACTGCAGCTGTAACACTTCAGTGTTTTTAAAGCCTCATACTTGCAGTTATAACTTACCTGAAATAATCTGCACTGAGATAAAAGAAGGCACAAAAAAAAAGGCTTATCTAGTTTAAATACACACAGGTGAAAACAAAAGCAATGGCAGCTTTTGACTGCATCCTGTCAGTGCTTGCCTGTTTTCTGAACACATCCCACTTCGTCCTGCATCTGCTGATGTGCGCAGCAGCTGATCCCTCACCTCTCTGTACTGCTCATATTCGTGTTGCTGCTGGACCATGTGCCCGACCTCTCGGGGAAGTGATTGCCCCTCCAGCGTGTGCCATAGGCGATGGCACAGACCGACCGTGGGCAGCATCTCCTCCTGACTCCACACAGTCCAAACCGAGACAATTTTCACGGCACCGGTTCCATGCAAAGCCACGAGTAGGTGGTATGCTATGCAGAGTTATTTGCCCTTGATGTACACATTTCATGGCCTGCCCCCCAGTAAGATTATAAATGCCTGGAGTAACTAACTAGATCAAAGCAAACCAGGAACAAGCGTTAACCACACAACTGGCTTGGGCTGATGACCTTTATTTTCATTTTCAAAGGCTTTTTAATAAAGAAACACATGACATCTTTAAAAGATCTAATACTTGAAGGCAATTATTCTTAACTAATGCTTACCCTTTATTTACATAGGAAGATGGTTCCAAGATCAAATCAAAAGCTCAGTAACTTCCCAGATGATCCAGAGGCAGCTCCCAGCAATCCAGCTGTCTCCATCAGCTATTTGGTAAAAACACTGGACAGTATAATGGCTTTCCAATTTCATTTGACCACTAGCCAGCAGAATGCAAGAATGTTCTGAGTCCGTGTCTGCCCGCTGGACGCAGCTATTAATGCTTTCCCATGCAGGGAAGATGCTTCTTCTGTGGTGGAGGGATGTCACGCACGCAAAGCTTAGGACTATGTGAAATTCACGCTGACATTTCTAAGGTGGGAATTAAGGAAGGCTGCAGAAAACTTTTCCTAACTACTGGCAGCTTCGTGATCATGCTGTGTGTAGCCTTCCCAATGAGCACTATTGCATAAACTGCTTCTCAATGCTATCCACTAAAAATAAACAGACAAATAGGATAATTTTTCTCCTCTGAGTTCAAACCTTACTTCCAACTATCAGCTCCACTCAGGATAGGGGATACTTATTTGGTGATGGGAGATTATTTGTTATTTTCTGGAAATATAATGAGAATTCTCCATCACCTGAGCCCCATTCAGAGCTGGAAAAGACCCATGGCTGTCTGCTGCCCCACGTTATACAGTACACTCACAAAATCCATTCCGGTTATTTGTAGCCCACCAGCCACTTCCATATGAATTATTCATCACAGAGCAAGGACTGTGGTATCAATATGCAACCTCAATACACAATGTTCTGTGTCTTTTCAGAGTGCTCTTCTGAAAGCGCAGGGGCTTAACCTGTCCAACACTCAGAACAGCCCTGTTCTTCCACAAAAATCCACTCTGAAAAGAGAACAAACAGGTATAAGGAGCAATTTTCTTTAGACTGATGAAATTATTTGAAGCAATATTTCTAAAAATGATGCTCTAAAAATAAACCTTCAACCTCTAACAGCAGCTGGCATTGTGCACAGCTTTTTATTGTTTCTTTGTTGTTTTTTTTCCCCCAATTCATAGACTTTTTCTCCTGAACACACATTTCAAAGCATAACTGAGATCATCACTGTGAGATGGTTTCCTTCTGAATCTCACTAGCAGCCCTGAACTACCTGTCTGTTGTCTGAAATACTCGAGCATTGTGGTGAATAATGGTACCACAGCATGTCAGAGGCTGAAAATGCCAGATACAGGGGCACTCCCATTTTTCACACTAGTAAAGTTTGTGCCAAATAACCAGACACAGCTGTATCTCCAATTCCAAAAAAGCTACAATTTGGATATTTCCCCTGGGGAACGCTACAAAACACACAGACAGCATTCCCCTTTATGGGAATGCCATGACACGCACACACACACAGAGCAAAGTGAAGGACCTAAAATTCGAGTCTGGACTTGAGTTTCCACTGCTCAAAGCCCACAAAACCTCCTTAATTTCTAGGCGTAGCAAACATACCTTGACGATCCTTCCAGGCATTTGTACATCAGTTTATTGCATCAAGCAAATCCCAAGAGTCACAAGCCAAGCCTCCAGGCCACGCATTGCCACACTGTCTGGAGACAGAGGAAGAGAAAAGGAAGTATATCAAGACTGAAGAGGCGAGGAAAGCCCCAAACTCTTTTGTGTGGGTGGTGTGGCATGAAAAAGTTGTTTAGAGAACTGAACTGAGTCTTCTCTGTGTAATCCCGAGCTGTTTGCGGGGCTCGGAAAGCAGCCCTGTAGGAAGGTGGTAGGCTGGTTTCAAATGTCAAAGGAGGGCAAAATACCTACAAGTGTTTGTTTCATGGAGAGAATCTAGCATTGAGGAGTTTTGACTGGGGATTTTCTGCTCCTTTTGTAGTGTTAAGAAGTAGTTTAACTAGCGTGGGGGAGAAGGGGGGGAATAAATCTTTACACAATTTAAGAACCCAGGTGTCACTGGGAATTAAGTGAGAATAGTATCATCAGGAAGGATACAAAAATCTCAATAGGCTGGGACAGGTTTTTAAGTTATAATGAAAACCTAGAACTGTGAGAAGAGTAAAACAATTTGTTATTGCCTCTATTACAAGACAAAGTTTGAGTTAAAAATGGAATTACTAAGAATGTTGGGGGGTGTGTTATTTTGCAGTCAGAGACTCACAAATTACTTGCTTAATTATTTTGCATTCCACTTTGTGCTGGATACAAGGAAGATAATTAGTAGAAAAACAAGAAATAAGAAGGAATGAAATACGTATTCAGCTCAGAGATTTTAAAAATAAGAAAAAAAATCATATAAGAAATCCAAAAGCAATTCAATTGTTATTTCTTGTATTTTCAGTAAAATACTTCCAAGAAAATGCCTATGCATTCAGCAAATAGAGGGCTGGTTCCAAGAAGACTGCAGACAATGATAGCAGTTTAAAGCCAAATACTTCTGAAAGTTTCCCTGCCTCCAGTTTGCTGATAGCTGCCAGTCAATTTTCAGCTGTAAAAGAAGAGAAAAAAAAAAAAGAAAAAAAAAAGGAATTTCAGAAATCCCTCCTATTTTTCTCACTATTAAATCTTTATTTCAAAAAGTTATGATGACTTCAGCTGAACTGTTTGACACTTTAAGGTTTTTTATTTATTTTTTTTAAAGTAGATGAGAATCATTAGCACCTGCAGGAGAGCTCCAAATGAGAGAAAGCCAATTCTTACTGCAGCCCTGTGTATGTGAAAACATGATTGTGTTTTATAGCATCTCATTTTTCATGTTCAGGATATACGCAATTATAACCTAAGCAATGCTGTACACAAATATTATTGTTGAGTTTCCTGTGTTTGTGTCAGCAGAACGAGACAACAATTTTCAGTCACTAT